TAGGGGGCGTGCAGGAGGCAGCTGATCAACTATTGTCTCTCATCATTGATGTTTCTATCTCTCTCTCCCCTCTCCCTTCCTCTCTGAAATCAAGGAAAATATATTAAAAAAATAAAAAGAGTGTAGAGTTTGTTGGGCCTTTTATTTCATACGTGAGCACGATTTCCACACAACGGATCGTAACCAATAGACAAGAGGTTCATCCGGTCACTTGGAAGAAACCACGCCTCACATGTTTGCCTTTTCTTTCTTCCTCTTTGGTAGCCATCGACTGGTAAAAGAAACTATATTCTTCCTGCCTACACATGTATTTAGGCAAATGAAATAACCTCCTTACCTACTCAAGTGTTGTCAATCCGACAATATACAATGCGACTTGGACTAAATGTTTAGACGTATTAGCTCAGTTGATGGTGGTATATCGGTGACCCCAAAGTCCTGAACTTGACAGCTACCCAGTCAAGTTAGTGTTACACAGGAATAGACTTCATTCCGTAACCGGAAGTCCGTCCTGTCCTTAGCCAAGTAGCTGAAAAACACCATCAGGAGAGAGACAAGCTGCAACCCGCCACGTTTATTCAACAGAAGTACTTCTATGTTCACGTCCGACTGAGGGAGACCTGGTGGGAAGGACCATGAAGGGCTGCACATTACAAAACTCAGCGAGAATATTTGTTAGTAACTGAAAGCTGGGGCAACGGGGAGAAATAGTGACAAGGACACTCCCTCTGTGTAACTGAACTTTCTAACCATTTCACACCCCCTCTTAGGCAGCACTTGGAGCTGCCTCTTTGAACTCTCTTCCTTGGGCTTCTGTGACAGTTAAAAAATATTTCTACTCTTACTCCACTTCCTGTTCCTTTGCATTCTCTTCTCCTGTGCGCAATTTCCCAGGCTCTCTGTTCACGTTTAACAGTTTAGTGAACTAATCCTGTCATTGACTCAGATATAATCTACATCTGATTCATGCCTAAATGTATTGTTTTGGTCCTGACTTTTTTGTTTTACCAAAACTGCAGCTTTTTAAGACATGTTTACTTAACTATTAGACAGTCACTTCAAATGTATCTCAGACCGAGGCATCATCCCTCCAATACCAGGCCTTTTTCCGAGGTTTACATGGTACCCAACTTCTCTAGGTCAACAGGACTCTGTCCTTTGTCGGGGGTTCTTACCCATTTCAACACCAAGGCCTTCTTTTATCCACCCAACCATGTCCCTAGTGTTCATCTTAAAAAATATATATTTTCACCAAAAGATTCATTTAAGTAACAGTTTTTCTATTCCTATTAAAGGCATCTGGGTTGTGATTCTAAGCAAACTGTTATTACACTGAATTTCAGCCACAAGCAGAGATATGTGGTGTGTATTTAGTCTGTGCCGCCAGTGTATATAGAATATATAGGTCAAGTGGAGAGAAATAAAAGGCTCTGTTATTGTTTGAAAGCAGCTTAACTATTAAAAAATAATCAGACCTAACAAGTTTACTACTTATTGATCTCAGATGGGCACTGTATCTGCAGAACTTCTTTACAAAAACTTGCAGGCAAAGAGCCACAAAAGTGTATTGATGGTTCTTCATTCATAAGTCTCAGCGGTTTCCTCGTGTTGACAGATGGGGAAGTGTGTCCTTGGGGAGGCCTCTCTGAAGTTGGGCAGGGCATGCTCCTGGTCTCATGTAACCACGATAGAACATTTCTGCAGATCTCTCGGCAGAAGATGAGGAGGGTATAAAAGAAAATTCAGCTTCTAACCATACTTTCTGCTAAAATCTTCCGTAAGTCTTTTACAAGGAAATAGCATTCCTGAAGGAAACCTGCCATGAACTAAAGGGATGTATTGCTGTCAAAGGAGGCTATTCTAGATTCCAGGTGTCTGACATAAGCCCTGAAATATATGAACTTGAATAAAACACTAGTTAATCATTTCGGAAACTAAGCCAGATCACCGTTCTGACATAATATTTACGGATAACATTCAATCACTCACTTTTATTGCCTATTCTCTTAACTGTCTAGCGCTGAGAATCTTGCCAAATATGAGTATTTTGGTTCCAAAGATCTGCTCGGAAACGGTTCCTTTGCATGAAATATGCTTTATCAAGGTCAGAGTTGGCATCCTATAAAATTCTTTGATTTAATTTGAGGTAGACAAAACACTGACATCAACCTTGGACCAGTAGCCCAACCGAAGCATGTGCAAATTGTTAAAGAGCTTAAATCCATTCCTCATCTTCATCTTCACTGAGCTTGCTCACATGGAAACCAAAATCCCCAGGGTAGTCAATGGGTTTCCCATGGCTGTGTGGAGTGTCATGGGGAGAGGGGTTCTGAGCTCAGATCAGTAGAAGTGAGGACTGTGATTAGCAAGGTCTGCCATGGGAGAGAGTAGAGTGGGGCCTTGACTTACGAGTGTCCCAACTAACGAGCCGTCTCTCGGCCGATTTTTTGCTTTGAGTTGCGAGCTAAAATTCAGGTTACGAGCCAGTTTCAGATACCCCACCGCTAGTTGGCGCAGCGAACGTCACAGTGAACGCCACAACATCAGCCCAGCATCACGTGTCTCACTCGTTCACTTTTTGATTTGACATACGAGTAATTTGAGTTAAGAGCTCCGTCACGGAACGAATTAAACTCGTACGTCAAGGCCCCACTGTAGTAGAAACAAGGTGTAATGAAGGTCTGGAACCCAAGGCCATTTACCACAGAGAAAAGAAACCTCAGATGAGCCATGGCATCTTAAGGCAAATGCTTGCAGAACAGTCATATGAACAAGGGTATCAACTTATTCGAAAGCAGCAAATGTGTAGCGGGAAGTGAAATCTTAAGCCCATAGAATGAAGAACTTTTAAATAATTAGAAAAGTCCAACATGGAACATACTCTCTTGAGAGACAGAATCACCCCCAAGACTTAGACATGCCCTGGCAGGGGGTATCGCTATCTTAGGACAGATCCCAGCAGGTGTGGGAAGTCAGAAAAAAATGATTTCGTAGGGATCTTAGGACATGCCATCCAACCTCAAGCAAGAAAAACCATTATCTTCTAGAGCAGGGTTATTTGTACTGAGACAACAATGAAGAAAAACATCCAGCTGCTTGAGATAAATGTGTTTAGCATTTCCGCTGAAATTTCATCCCAATCAGAGGCCATGTCCGTACCTTGGGATTGCCCACCGAAAGAGACTTGTAATTTGAAATAAAAAACACACACATTAAAATGGTGATGGATGGAGATTTGACTTGAGGTGGTGAACACACCATACAGTGTACGAAGGATGTGTTGTGGAATTGTGCACCTGAAACCTGTGTAATTTTGTTAACCTGCGTCACCCCAGTCCATCCCACAACAAAGATATAAATTAAAAACATTGAAGGTGGACATCATTTTATAAAATCTCAGCATCCACACAGGGATTCTCCTGTGCGGAGGTGGGTAATTCTTGAACTAACAGGCCTGGCCCAAATGAAACTTATCAAAAGCCGGCCTGCCATCTATTTGAAACCAATTGGTTGCCCCGGAAGGTTAGGCGTGTGATCAGTAACTGTCCCATCAGCCATCAGCATCTCGGCCGCAGAGTGAAGGAGATGGGGAGAGAGATCACCCGCAACAGAGATGAAAGCTGGGTGGTCGGAAGAAAAAGGCCTCCTTGATTAAGCTGTGGACTTACTCGAGTCTTTCATTCTCCCTCCGGCCCGTCTCCACGCTGGCACGGGGGCGGGCCGTGGATGGATGGGGACGCTCATCAGGAGGAGCACGCCCATCTATCTTGCGGGCGGATTTTTTTTATTCGCCAGCTCCAGAGGAGCCGGGAGATTTATTTGGAAGGATGGTAATGAAGGCGGGAGGCACTGGTCAGACTGCAGCTTCCTTTACCCATGTGTTATTCTCACTCTCTCTCTCTTCTCGATGCTGAGTTGCTCTCTTTATTTCCACTTATTTTTCTTAATATATTTCTATTGATTTCAGAGAGGAAGAGAGAAGGGGAGAGAGAGAGAGATCAATGATGAGAGAGAATCATTGATTGGCTTCCTCCTGTATGCCCCACACTGGCGATTGATCCCACAGCCTGGGCATATGCCCTGACTGGGAATCGAACCATGATCTTCTGGTTCATAGGTGGACACTCAACCACTGAGCCACAGCGGCTGGGCTCCCCTTATTTTTCTCTAAAAGGAGGGATATGTTTGGTCTCATTAGCCAGTGTCTGGAGAGAGGATGGTAGTGAGGATCTGGGAGCACAGAATTTCCAGGTGTAATTTTTGCTGCAGTATTTCAAGTGTTTTCATGACACTCTACATTTTCATTCTACACAGGTGCATTTACTTGGACCCAATCATATACTCCTTGAAATACTTGTTTCTTCATTCCAAAATGAGATCTCATGTTTCCTTTCTTGCTGTTTTGTTTTTTGTTTGTTTGTTGCTCTGCCTGGCAAGAATGAAATCGTTCCCTTCAATGAAAAAAAACTAACTTTCCACCTTCATAACAATGGTGCAAGGAGATGGGCTAGCTCTGCTGGGCCTTATAAAATACAGTAAAAGCGACCACCATCACCACCCCGATCTGAACCACAGGATGGAATTATTCGCTAAAAGGCTGGAGTGGATATATTCTTGGTTTCCTGCAAAAGGCGTGGCCTCTGGACTGTGACCAACCACCGCCAGGGGTGTCATTCGGATGCAACAACTAATCCCCTGAGCTGAACACTCACTGGACCTGAGTCCAACATCCCGGCTGGTGTGGCTCAGTGGATAGAGCGTTGGCCTGCGGACTGAAGGGTTCAGGGTTCGATTCCGGTTAAGGGTTGTGGTCTGGATCCCCAGTAGGGGGTGTGCAGGAGGCAGCCGATCAATGATTCTCCACTAAGATGATGGGGTCATAATATGGCCTCGTCGGGGGACTGTTTTGATGGCACTTTTGGTCACGAGGGGCTGTGGTTGTGACAGATATTCTCAGGAGTAAAAAATCCACCTATTCACACACTGTATGAAACCAGTCATCTGTCAAATACTAGAGTTTATTGAATCTTAAGAAGTATGGTTTATGTTGTGGTTTCTGTAGGATCCTCATGTGCATTTTCCTTTAAGAACTGGAGAGTTTTTGAATGAATAGAGGGTTCCCATTTCTTCTTTGAACAGATGATAAGGAGGGAGGGAGGGAGGAAAACAGACAGAAAGACAGAGATTTCAAAGGCTGACACACTGTGTCCAGGTGACTCAGCCAGGCGGTGGCGTCTTCTACTCCACAACCACGTCACACCTGAACCTCATTTTACACTTTGTCTTCTTTTATTGTCTAAAAACAAAACAGTAAAGTGAGAGAAGACATTTTCTAAAAACAAAACACTGAGATGAAGAAAAAAAAGGGAAAGAAGCTAATAACACACAGTTCTCAAATTCTCTACTCAAATCCTCCTCACTCAGAGTTCGCTCAGCAGAAGGTCTGGGGGCCGCACCCTGAGCTGCCCCATTGCTAGCCTTGCTGCAGCCACCCTGACCCCTGACCTCTGTCTGCACCTGCAGATCCTGATCAACAAAGGTGAGCGAGCGCAGACACACAAGGCGCTGGGCCAACCTGCCCAGACCCTAGAGCAGTGATGGCGAACCTATGACACGCGTGTCAGAGGTGACACGCGTGTCAGAGGTGACACGCGAACTCATTTTTTTGGTTGATTTTTCTTTGTTAAATGGCATTTAAATATATAAAATAAATATCAAAAATATACGTCTTTGTCTTACTATGGTTGCAAATATCAAAAAATTTCTATATGTGACACGGCACCAGAGTTAGGTTAGGGTTTTTCAAAGTGCTGGCACGCCGAGCTCAAACGGTTCGCCACCACTGCCCTAGAGAAACACGGCGAATGTCCTCCTGCACAGCTGGGGGCCGTTACAGCGCCTTTATTCAGAGAACACCCTTACCAAGAGGACGATACTAAAGGTATCTTGAGCCCTAGCTGGTTTGGCTCAGTGGATAAAGTGTCGACCTGTGGACTGAAGGGTCCCAGGTTCAATTCCGCTCAAGGGCACATGCTTGGGTTGTGGGCTCGATCCCCAGTGTGGGGCGTGCAGGAGGCAGCCGATCAATGATTCTCTGTCATCATGGGTGTTTCTATCTCTCTCTCTCCCTCTCCCTTCCTCTCTAAAAATCAATAAAAATATGTAAAAAAAAAAGATATCTTGATTTTTGTTTTGTTTTATTTTTGCACATTTACTCTGATGCAACTGAAAAGGGTTATATATCCACACGGCGCCAGACTGGATGCCAAGGCTGGACAGGTTTTCTTTTTTTTGTTTTTGTTTTTGTTTAATTTTATTCACATCTTGTTGCCATTAAAGGTTAATTCAAAAAACATTTTTGCTATTCTAACATCCTTTGCCTCTCATCATCTCTTACAAATAAATCCCCACCACAGAGCAGAAATATTAGGAGTTATATTGCAAATGGAGCACATTAAGCAATTTTTAAACCTTTGAAATATGGCTTACGAACAATTTTACACAGCGAGAACAGGTTTTCTTGTTGAATTAGGAACTGAACCCCCCCGACGAGCACATATATCGCTTATCTCTCTCCTTACACAGCCGCTAAGACCGTATTTCCCCTTAAAAAAAAAAAAAAAAAGACAAATTCACCCCTGTCCCAATGCCGGTGCTAACCAGACTCATTCTCCCTTTTCTTTTTCCTTTTCCCAGCCATTCCAGTCATTCAGATGCCAAATCCCTATGAGGAAGGAAGACAGGACACTGGTTTCTATGGACAACAGGTAATTTCATTGAAACTCATTTCCTCAGGCCTCCAGATGGAACCATGCCTTTCAGCGAAAGAGGACCCGGACTGACGCACATGGCCAAGAACTTGGGACAGGTGAGGCGCACACAACTCGAGAAGACTCGGCGCACGCCGCGCACGGCCCACTGGCCAATGGACCCCCCCTCTCCACGCCCCCTTCCCCCCACCGACTGTCTCCACTCGGCCCAGAAGATGAATGGAGCTAAAGAAGGCAAAGCAGTCGGATGGACGGAAGGAGCCAGTCCTTTCTGATTCAGACCCGGCGTAATGCTGGGGAACTCTCCACCATTACCAAACTGAGCAGTTTATAAAGAAAAATTAAAAACAAAAATTAAAAGGAGTCAGATGATCCTAGCCAGAGAGTAGATTTTAAAATATACGGCGTCCCCCCAAAATGTACACATGCTATGACTGTAGATTCTATTACATTTTGAAAATGAAAAGTATTTTTAAAAGCACTGCCTTGCCCTAACCGGTTTGGCTCAGTGGATAGAGCGTCGGCCTTCGGACTGAAGGGTCCCGGGTTCGATTCCGGTCAAGGATGTTTCTAACTCTCTATCCCTCTCCCTGCCTCTCTGTAAAAAATCAAAAAAATATTAAAAAAAAAATAAAAAAAAAAAATAAAAAGCACTGCCTTTATCATTATTCAAAGTGTGCATACATTTTTGGGGGGAACGCCCTCTACGTGTGTGTTTAAAATCCAATTCATTCTGAGCAGTTTCGGTGGCTGAGATCTTCGTGGATTAATTGAAGTGGGTTGGTGGAGGCTCTGTTTGTCCTAAACGCAGACACGCTGAAGGGAAGCGAGATTAATCTGATAAAGGCGTCACTGTTTCTAATCGGACTGATGGGCAAGCGCAGGATGGGTGGGAGAGGCAACATTGGGTGAGATATCGTCAAGTGATGAACTACCTTGAAGCCAAAGCAATCAAGTAGAGAGCCCTAAAAATTCCTCCGGCATCTTGGGGCAAGTGTCCCCATCTTGGCCTTCTCTACGCAGAGCAGAAGCACTTTGTCAGATTTGGTGAAATGCACTCGTCAGGGGAGAGCTGTAGCTGGGGGCAGCTCCCCTCCACTTACCAAAATTAAACACGAGACATTCATTTCCATTCTGAGAGGAGGGGGTGACATTTTGATAATACTTCCAATTTGCAGAATAGTTGAAAATCCAAGAGCAGACTTACCAAACATTTTTTTTTAAAAAAAACTGTCACCTATTTGTATTTGCTCGTTGTAATGAAAAGTAATGCGAAACATTTGTTACTCGTCCTTCTTTCTTATAAATAATGTAGCAAGTAGTTATTTTGTCTTCAGAAAAAAAAAAGATAATTTTCTCTACATTATCGTGATTGAATAGAATAAAGTCAAGCTGTTTTTGTAATTGGTAGGGAAGAGCAAGGAATTCCTACTGGAGTATTTTGTCTTAACGCATTGCTTTTGTCTGATTAGACACATTTTCAAAAAATTAGGGTACAAAGACACATCTCCCCAAAATGGTATCTACAATCTTAGATACCAATCTTACCCAGAGGTAACTACCATTAACATTTTTGCAATGTACAAATGTATACAAATATATGCAACACAGATTTATTTGCAAGTGTGTTTTTCATGAAAGCATAAGAACATATTTTTAAAGGAATAGCTAACTAAAATGAAGGGCAATTTTCTGCTTATTTTAATGGCTTTAAAAGTGCAAATATTAAGGCTTTCTCCCCCCTCCCCCAAATTATCAGGTAAGGATCTATGTCTCATCATTTATTTAACTTAGCATATATTATCCAGTATTCAATTTGTTTTCAACCTTTCACCACTACAAACAGAATATACCTTTGAATTAAAAGCTAAGTCACACACAGATAGGGAAGATTTTACTTAGACTGCTTTATACTGTGAGTTAGAAATGCCAGACAAATGTTCTAATGGATAGTGATACTTTATAAACCTTTGGAACCACAATTCCATGCGGCATTATAGATGAACTAGAGGCCTGGTGCATGAAATTCATGCAGGGGGGAGGGGAGGGGATCCCTCAGCCCGGCCTGCACCCTCTCCAATCCAGGACCCCTCGGGGGATGTCCGACTGCCAGTTTAGGCCCGATCCCCTCTCGCAATCCGGGACCGGCAGTCAGACATCCCTCTTGCAATCCGGGACCGCTGGCTCTTAACCACTCACCTGCCTGCCGGCCTGATCGCCTCTAAATGCCTCTGCTTCGGCCCTGCCACTGTGGCTTTGTCCGGAAGGACATCCAGAAGGATGTCTGGAAGACATCCTATATAATTAGCATATTACCCTTTTATTAGTATAGATATGTCTTATTTCCCTTTGCATTTTTCCTTTGAAGTCATTAAAAAGTAGGTAGTGGTATTTGTGTTGAACACACTGACTTCCACATTGAAGCATCCTGAGTTACAAGGGGGGGCAGGCGACACTGATGCTGAATGTAAGGAAATAAGTTGCTCGATCTACTCTGCCTTCCCCAGCGGACCTGAGCTCTCCCGTGGCCCTGGGGGCGGGAGGGCACCTGGGGAATTCCAACTCGCATGATTTCTCATTCCTGCCTCTTCTCCTTCAGCTGTGGTGATCTGTGCTGTCTTCATCCAATACCTCCTTTAATTTGGCTGAAAATGCCAGATTACTTCCTATAAGTCTCACTCTGATTGTAATCACGCCTCTACTTTTAAACACCTCAGCCAGTGAATGAATGCAGTCCACGCTGAGAGCTATTTCTGTGATCTTGAATTTTATGTAGGTCTTTGCTCTTCTCTGTACCTTAACAGGGATAACCAGAGACCCCAGACACTATTTACTTGGAATTCCATAAAGACACCTAGTAGCTCAAATAACACACATACTGAATATAGTCTATTAAACTAAGTGTATCAACACAGTATTGAGAAATTTAAAACAATTTTTGGAACACCATCAATGTTTTATCACTGGATAGTGTAAAACTATTATTTATTGTATTCATTAACATAAAGTAAAAGTACTTCTGATTTTTGTGAGTTCTATTTCTTGTCGTGTTTTTTAGTCTATTTTGGAGATTTGAAAAATGAAACCAATGATTTTTTTTTAATGTTAAAAACCCATTGCACTAGAATTAAAATGTGCCTGGCTTTGTTATGCATTAATATTATTATAGCATGGCTTTTTAAATGCTTGATGATTAAGTTACTTAAAATACTTAGCAAAAAAAAAAAGCATACCTTTATAAAATCTGTCCAGCTTTTGAATATGACTTTCCATACTTGGAGAAGAGATCGAATGATGGTAATATAGTTTGGAAATCCTAGAATAAAAAAAGAGCAAAGATTACCACAGAGCCCTTACTGACTTTTATTATTATTATTATTATTATTGGTTTTAAATATATATGACAATGACTAATTTTCAAAAAAGGAAATGAAATGATTAGCTTTATTTAAATGACCTTAGTTTAACCTTTTTTATATTGATTAATTATATTTAGTGTTTATTTTAATATAATACTTTTCATATGTAAAATAACTCATTTTTAAAATGTACATTTTATGGATACAGACAACAGTATAATTGCCAGAGGAAAGGGTTTGGGGAAGGTAAAATAAGGTAAAGGGGGAATAAATGGTGATGGAAGGAGACTTGATGTGGGGTGGTGAACACAATACAATATACAGATGATGTATTACAGAATTATATACCTGAAACCTGCATAATTTTATGAACCAATGTCACCCCAATAAATTCAATAAAAAATATGATGAAATACATGTACATTTCAACTTTTATTTTTTACGTTTCCTTTGGATAAAAATATGTTCAAACTGTATATGCTTTAAAAGCATCGAATGCATCTAGTAGAAGAGAAGAAAGACCTAAAGTCAATAATCTCAACTTCCACTTTCGGAAACTAGAAAACAGTGAGCAGCAGAAGAAAGACATAACCAAATCAGAGAAAAAACCATGAAACTGAAACAGAGACGAGCGAAAGTCAACAAAACCAAAAGCTGGTTCTTTGAAAAGATCAATAAAATCGATAAACACCTGGCCAGGCTAAGTGAGAAAAAAGAGAGAAGTCACAAATTAGTAACAGTTACTAAGAGAGATGGGTGGTCACTACTGGTGCCATGCACTTCAATTCAAACGATAAGTGAAGAAGTGTGAGCAACAGTGGACCACACATTGGATAACTCAGGTGACCTGGACCAATCACTTAAAAGACAGCCCACCAAAACTCACACACAAGGAGAAACACATAATCTGAATAGGCCCGTATCTATTGAAAAAAATCAAATCAGTAATTAATAACCTTCCCAGACAGGCTTTGATTCTTTCTGGTGAATTCTACCAAACAAGGAATAGATAATACTGTTCCAGAAAACGGAAGCACTTCCTAACTCCCTCTGCTTCGTCACCTAGAAAATGGAGATGTCCACCCCGGCCAGTGTCCCTTAGTGGTTAGAGCATCGGCCTGCTCACTGAAGGGTTGCTGGTTTGATTCCTGGTCAAGGTCACATACCTGAGTTGCAGAGTCAATCCCTGGCCCAGGTCAGGGTGTGTGGGGGAGGCAACCAATCCATGTCTGTCTGTCTGTCTCTTTCTTTCTCTCTCTCTCCCTCCTCCCTCATTTCCACTCTCTCTAAAAAAAAAAACAAAACAAATTCGGGTGAAGATTAGCAACAACAAAAAAGTAATTAGCTAGAAAAAAATTCATGTGAGAACGAATGCATTGCCTGGGGAAGTGGCGGGGGGGGGGGCATTTTTCTTTCCAAGACAATGACTAACTTTTGTCAAGGTTGGGTGATCCCGTGAGAAAGTGATCCCCCTCCCCAGAGAAGCACGGAGGGATACTAGCACATCTTCCCTCCACTTTTCTTGACATTTGTCTACATCTGAGATTTGGGGGATGGGATTTATGATGGCTTCTTGGTGAGCTGGAGGGAAGGCCCTGGCATACCATATCTTGTTCATTTTCTAATTACCTCCTGAAGAAGCGAACACCGTGAAGCAATACACCGGGTCATTTAAAAGGCATAGGGGGCCCGGCCAGTGTGGCTCAGTCGGTTGAGCATTGTTTTATGCACCAGGAGGTCACTGGTTCGATTCCTGGTCAGGGCACATGCCTGGGTTTCGAGTTTGATCCCAGTAGAGGGAGTGCAGAAGGCAGACAATCGGTGTTTCTCTCTCATCAATTCTTCTCTCTCCCTCTTCCTTCATCTCTCTCTAAAGTCAATAAGAACTTTTTTTTTTTTTTGGAATAGCTAACTGAAATGAAGGGCAATTTTCTACTTACTTTAATGGCTTTAAAAGTGCAAATCTTACCCTGGGAATCAACTAGTCATTAAACCTTAAAATAAACAGTCATATCGCCTTGCCTTCATAAAAGTCAGTGTGTTTCCTTCTGTAGTCTATCATTTTCATCAAACATTGTTTTCTACTTGTTGGTTTATTCTTTCACTGTGAAAACATGTATGATAATGTTTGGTATAAAAATCAAGAAATTAGTCTCCCGGCGGGGAGTCTGCTAACAACACCGTTTTAATCTTATCCTTCAAGCAGAGGCAGAAAACATATTAATTGCAGCTTAATTTATGCAACAAATATTTCATTTTAATTATGCTTAATTTTTGTCAAGCTATAAAAATGTCAATAGTTCTGACACAGTGTTTGCCTACAAGTTTTTTTTTTTAAAGCGTAAGAATTAAAATCAAACGCTGGTTCTGAAAGAAACTATGAAAGATTTCTAATTACTGCTGGCGTTTTTGGAAAAAAAAAAAATTGCTACTCTAGTGGCCCCCAAATAACATCTGGGAATGTGTGAACTTGAAGCTTTATTACCCGGTATTTGTAATTCCTAGTAATATACATGCATCATTAACAGGATGAAATTCTCACGGGAAGGACTGTTTAATTTTTTAATTTTTTTATTCATAGGATTTATCAGTGACTGTCATTGACTGGTGCCTTTTCGCTACAGAAGGGTTTTTGTTAATTCCTCTCAGGGAAACTAAGACAAGAATAAGTGAAACTGACTACTGCTGATCCATTGCATTGAACAAAAGAACATTTACCACGAACAGAAGGGGCAAGAAAAATGTCCAGCCATCGAGGCTGAGCGGCATGAATTATATTCAGCAAAACATTAGCAAGCTCTTGCCCCGGCCTGGGTGGCTCAGTCGGTTGGGGGTCATGCCACGCACCCGAGAGGTTGCTGGTTCGATTCCGTAGGGTCAGGGTGCATGTGGGAGGCAACCGATCAATGGACATTTCACTCTCACATGGATGTTTCTCTCCATCTCCCTCTCCCTGCCTCTCTTTCTAAAAGTCAATTACAAAATCTTTTTAAACAGTTATTAAGCACTTACGAAGTGCAAATCCTCCCCAAACGCTGTCACACCTATAAAGGCTACCTCCTCCCAGAAAGCATTCGTCTTCAGATGGAAATGCCAGCTCCCTGCACTGAGCATCGGTGCCCAATCACGCTCCTCCCAGCCCTGGTCCAGCGTCTGTTTTGCATCAGTGACTGCCTCCCAGTGTGAGCCCCTCCTGGGGGCAGGATCCTGGCCTTCTGTGTTATATCCACCCCTCCCACATTCACATATACGTGAGAATATACATGAATAAAATGTTCTGGGTGTTCTGTTTTTGGAAACATCACTCTTATTTCAAAACCCTCTTTTGTGAAAGATGTATACACCCATATTTTAAAATCATTCGTTGGGAAAGCTTCTAGTTTTAAGCTGGCAGAGCAATTAATTTCCTGCCTTATCCTCAGAAATGACCCCCCACCCCGCCCCCGAACTTGGAGGATTATAAACATCTACAAAACAGCATCTGCAGGAATACCAGGAAACAGCAGGGGCCCCAAATCATCATCTATGTCCCGCCAGATGAGCGGGGCAGCATCCCAGACTTAAAAAGGAAGGGAGAACATGCTCTAGCCGGTGTGGCTCAGTGGACAGAGCATCGGCCTGCAGACCAAAGGTTCGATTCGGGTCAGGGGCACATACCTCGGTTGCAGGCTCCTTCCTGTCCAGGGCCCTGGTCGGGGCTTGTGCAGGAGGCAACCAATGGATGTGTTTTTTTCACATCAATGTTTCTCTCTTGTCTTTCCCTCTCTCTTCCCCTCTCCCTAAAAAAAAAAAAAAAAAAAAAAAAAAAAAAAAAAAAAAAAAAAAGGAAGGGAGAACAGACCAAAGAAATTCCATCCTG